ATGTTATATATTAAAATCGAAAAATCCTATTACAAATAACCAAAAATCGGCAATTTCATGTTAAAAATCAGAAATATTATATTAAAATCAGAAATATTTATTAAAATCGGAAATATTATATTAAAATTGCCAAAAAATCAGACAGCCATATTAAAAAGGGCAAAAATCTGATTTTTATTTATTTGACCTGTATATATCTGTAGAAAATACGTTATAAACGTATGAATTTTAATATACTGTAGAATAATACGTATACCGTATCCTTTATTTACAATATTTTTGTGAACCGTATACAAAATACTGATATACAGTAGAAATGATATACGTTATAGATGTATGAATTTAATATACCGTATCACACAGTATGTTTACCATATACTTTATTGTATTTTTTACTAAGCACATTTTGCGAACAGTATACATTATACTGATATGCCGTATGTAAAAATGCAAACTGTATCAAAAATACGTATATATAGTATAAAAACCGTATACATATTTTTTATAGGGATGCTAAACACGTCATCCCTATAATAGAGTATAATCTAAACTATAGACACGTTACAAAAAATTAGATAAATAAATACTATACCTGAAAACTAATCTAAACTAGCAAACTACCTATTTTTGAAACCTAACTATTTGTACTCTAATTTAATGGTAGGAGAAAAGAATGAAATATGTAATAATGTCGGGTCTGCGCTAAAGGCAGCTCCTAAGAGATGAGTCCCAATGGTCCCACACCCAAACTAATTTATTCCACTAATTTCTCCTTTTTCCTACAAAAATAAAAGTTAGTATTCTAAACTACTCTGAAATAAATTACATTTTGTTTTTGTTTTTGTTATCAGAAAGAATTTTTACATGAATCACGTGACTTCGATTACAAATAATTTATTTCCTCGTCAGTTTTGTGTCTCTATCAGTTGCTCTTCTTCTTTTTCTTTTTTCCCTTTTTCTTCTTTGATGGTGATGCTTTTGTCAGTACTTTTACTTCTTCTTTCTCATCTTCTTCTGTATCTTCATTTTTTTCTGGTGGAGAAGATAGGGTTAGCTCTTGTTCTCTTCGTTCCAAATACATTTCCTTGAAAGCTTTGTTCCTCTCTTCTTCATCCTCTATATCACTCCATTTACTCGGTGACTCTAATATTGGTCTCTTTTCACTGGTCTTCTTTTTATCTTTATAATGATTTTTATTTTCTAATCTTTGTTTAAAGTCATCGTTCAGGGTTGTGTATTCTTCAAATATTTTTGTTTGTTCCGCTAGCCTGATGATTTTTTGTTCTAAACAGAAGAAATTGTTTTTTGTTAAAGCCCAATCCTTTGCTTTCTCCCATGAATCTATTTTGTTCTCCTCCTTTAATTGGTTCAGGGCCTCAGTATTAATTTTTTTCCATTCCATCATATTGGACGTTTGATTGAAGATGTCTTTCACTTCCTTCAATTTATCTACTAAATTTCCATTGTAGGTTGATTCTTGATACTAAACATATTTGATTTTATTCGTTGTTCTGTAATCTTTTATGATGTCAACCACTTCTTCTAGCGCTACATTGTCTTTCTTTAACTGAGATTATTGCCCTTTATTTTCTGAGATGTCATTTTGATCTGGAGTATCCTCTTCTCCTACTCTTCAATTTTTGATCATTTTGACAACCTCGTTTTCGTCTGGCGTCTTGCTTATCCTTGTTGATTTTGATTTTCCTTCTTTTGATGGATGTAGTATGCTTTCTTTTCATGAAGCGAAATTCCCTAATTCCCTATAAATCCTATCCAGTGGTGTCATTGGTGTTTTCGGTTCACTAGCCAGTCGTAAAGGTATACTCGTCTCAGGTTCTGTTGCACTCTTCTTGTCTGCCTTGTGATTCTGTTTCTTTGTCCTCAACTTGTCATCACTATCTTTGTATATCGTCTTCTTGTTTCTTACTAGCCAAACTCTATTAATATCTCTTTGTGTGCATGAATCCTCAACTGATTTTTCAATTTTTTTGAGGTTCTTGAAATATCTGATTACTTTCCAATTTTTTGTGATTTTGATAATTTTTATGAACGCTGTCTTGTATTTTATCACAGATTTGATTTTATCTATATTTGATTTTATCCTAGTGATATAAATCCAACATTACGAAGTCAATTATTGATTTTAGCCAGTTAGAATTCTTGCCAATCAACCAATAAAATTAAATTCTCCTTACGCTCATTTTGTAAAAAAAAGGAAAGAACTCTTTTCTTTAGTCACTTTGAAAAATTTCTAAATATTTTACTTATTTTTCACATATTATACTTTATATCAATTTTAATATTTTTATTTATATAAATTTTTTTACAAATATACTTAAATACTTTTGATAATTTACATTATAATTATTCTCTATAACTAAGTTCAACCTAATTTGCAATGTGTAGCGCAGTTCTATTTTTACTAAAAGCTTTAGCCTTTTTTATCTGTTATTTGATGACTTTATCTATACCTATATATGGTAAATGTAAAACGTATACATGTGGCTGTCAACGATTTTGGCCAAAAAATTATGCAAACAATGAATGTTTTTTCTGCAACCATGTTATTGGATTTCATGAGTTGTTTCCTGTTGATACTTTAGAATTCCCATATGGATCATGTAATGAACCTGAGTGTGGCTGCCAATGGTTCAAAAATCAACCTTTAGATAATCTGCAATGCATTTATTGTGATCATTTTGAAGGTTTTCACAGTAATTGGGAAACACCAATATCTAATGTAAATCTGATAACTTTATTGAATAATTTTTAATCTAATATAATTCCCAATTCAAATATTACTTCAAATATCTCTTCACAATTTACAAATCCCAGGGTTGAAGTCATTGCCAATTTTAGACTCACATAAGTAATTCCATTATATTCATCACAGTTTATACGAAATGCACATGCTGCTACTCGTAGACGTACTGGTAATTTTCCAACTTATAATGCTGATAAGCCTCAAGCACCTGCATTGATAATTAATTACTTGATATGTTTTGAGAAATTATTGCCCAATCGCTTTTCAAAGGAAGGGACAGCATTTTGGTTTCACTTACAAGCCAAGAGTCTTATTAAAGAAAATATTGAGATTTCTCAGACTGATGAATTATATAATATAATTCATAATTTGTTTAATGAAAAGTTAAATGATCAAGGATGGATTTTATATAGTGGAAGTTCTGGTTTACCACGAAAAGTTATTTACAATGTAAATAATAATCAAATATTATTTTATTTTTTATTTATTTTTACACATTAATTTAAATTTAATTTAAATTTTTTTTTAGGAGCTTAGTTTTAATTTGATTAAATCAAATATAACAAAAGCTAAGAAAAAATTATATATTGGTAAATCAGTATTTACATAGATTGTATTTCATTTATTATTTGATATTAAAATTTAAATTTTATTATTCAAATAATAGGTCCTGATATAGTTGCCGCCGAAATTATTATTACGGTTACGGCACATGCCGTAATCACCGTAATTAAAAACCGTAAACCGTAATTGCCGTAATGCCGTAATGCCGTAATTTAACTTGACGCCGTAATGCCGTAGTGTAATATGCCGTAAATAAATAAGACTAAACTTAATTTCAGCCGTTCGTAATGCCCGGTCAACTTTTTTTAGTGTTATATTACGTGACATTACACCAATTTCCAAAAAAGGAAATTTTGTCCCTCAATAAATCAAAGAAATGGGTTATACAAGGTTACACAAGGTTCTAAAAAAAGGAGATCTTTTTGCAGATCATTTGGTATTATTCAAGTCACGTGATCATAATTAATTACGGCATTTTATTACGGTTATGACATTATTTACAACATATGCCGTAATGCCGTAATTAGGGAATTTCGACGGCACCTATAGGTCCTGATACGTATGATATTGATCCAGATAATGTATTTTCAAATTCAATTGTTAATCCTTCATAAAATTTGACCATTAATCTCTTACAAAATTTGACCGTTAATTTCTCACAAAATTTGACCGTTGATTCCTCCTTACAAAATTTGACCGCTGATTCCTCACAAAATTTGACCATTGATTCCTCATAAAATTTAATTGTTGATCCCTCCCAAAATCCTTCACAAAATTCCATTAATCCTACTTCTAATTCTACTAACTTAAACAACTGGTTAACAGAACCAATTGATAATATCCTGGATTTAGAATTTATAGAAGATACAAATAATTCTTCTTTAACTATTATTGATGATACATAAGGTAATTATAAAATATAAAATATTATCAGTTATATGAAATTATTATTTAATCTTTTTTTATTTTTTTTATAAGAATTTAAAAATGCTGTTAGAGAATATTTGAATGAATTAAAATCATTATATCCAAATACTACTAGTAAAACAATTATAATTAATTCAATAATATATAAAAACTGTTTTAAAGATTTTTGCAAACAGATTAAAAATTTTAATGACTTTGATTTTGTTTATTGCCCATTTATTCGTATTTAATAAGAGTAAGTTATTAATATTATTAATTTTATTTTATATTATTAATAATTTTAAATTCTTAATTTAATAGAGAAGTTATTGATGCTGGTGATATATTATTTGATGTACTCAGTAAAATATTTAAAATATTTTTAATATATAAAAATTCTTTATTTGGAGGTGAAGGGTTTCTTTTTATTGGTAATTATATTAAAATAGTTAATGAAATAGTATTGTAGATTTTGTTGAAGAATTACAAGTATGTATTTTATTTATATTATAATAATTTAAATTAAAAATTCTTATTTGAATTTTTTTTTACAGATCTTTGGAATACTTTATTTTTAATAATAATATATGAAGGATTATTTTTATTAGAACTTAATTCTAATGTATTAAAATATTGCATGGATTAGGGTCAATGTTAAATTAGGCGATTTGTAAAATTTTTTGAATAAAAAAATGCAAAGAAAAAATAGAATTTGAATAAGCGACGTCGTTCGGCCAACTTCTGTGAACTACTGGACGTTCATGTTTGCGTTCCTTCTATTTATACTTGCGACAAATCAATGAAACTTATAATTTTGAATCTTTTTCAAATAAAACCCAAAGTCCATACATGTGGACTTTATTGCCAAGCACCAAAAATCGTATGATTTCTAAAGGTGGCATGCCTTTCATTGTATGAAGAAATACACATGCAAAAGTTAATTAAACTTCCAAAATATTATGAAATGCAAAGCCGAGCCTAAACCTATCAAAGGAGTAAACGCCGAACATTACGTCAAGAAAAGTTCTATGTGGAAACTATTAACTTAACTTGGAAGTATTAAAAATACTTTGAAACTTAAATCCCTTAAACTTCATTGTAGAATGAAACTTGGTGTTGCTTATAGTATGACACGCGGGTTCACTTAATTTTAAATAATTAATACAAAAAAGTGAAAATAGCTGGATCAACCGAAATCTCGGCAAATCCAAATTTATAACGGCTAAATATTTATCTAAAACCAGTGTAATATTTATCCGGAATCATGTGAAACTGTGTTGATACTATGCTGTTAGATTATTTGCGTCAACTTTAATTGACTGTTCTACCCTAGGTGGAAAGAGATCATTTGATAGTTGTTATGTGATTTGAGTAACTTAATGTAAAATAGCCAGTTATGTGTAGAAAGTCATGTAATTGACCTTTACGTAATACCACCCTGTACTGTGCTATAATTTTTTCAGGCTGGTTAGGTTAGCAATACTGTGTTTTTGGCTAAATTTTTATCTTTTTGCTTGATTACGTGATTGTGTGGATAAACTTTTGATTAGTTAAACTTAGGGTTAGAGCATGTGACAAAAGTGGAAAAACTTCTGATTGGTCCGTCCACTTAGGGTTATGGTTAGGGTTATGGTTATGGTTATGGTTAGGGTTATGGTTAGGGTTATGGTTAGGGTTAGGGTTATGGTTAGGGTTAGGGTTAGGGTTAGGGTTATGGTTAGGGTTAGGGTTAGGGTTAGGGTTAGGGTTAGGGTTAGGGTTAGGGTTAGGGTTAGGGTTAGGGTTAGGGTTAGGGTTAGGGTTAGGGTTA